GGAGGATTACGTCATTCAAAATTCGATGGCTCTATGTACCGTTGTTTTATCACAATGCGAGAATATAAATACATTTATGCAGATTTTTCATTATTTAATTTCTTCAAATATAATGCAGGACTCTAACATTTGGTGGCAACAGTTTGAAAAGTGAAACGGACATTTATAGTGAACCAACGCAAAAATCGCAAAACGAAAATAATAATCCTTCAGGGACAAAGCTCCTTTAGACTAATAAAATGAAAACGTAAAGTCGGAACTTGAATGATAGATTAAAATTTCTTTCCTATGAAAACCCTAACCAATTCTTTCTCACTGAAAGTCGTAACCCAAAAGGAGTACTAGTAAAATTAAACTTCAAATGCGTATACAAAATTGAAAATAATACAAAATAGAACAATAAACAAAAATAATGTATTAATTTAAGTAATCTCCTCTGTTTAACGCTTCAAACAGAACTTGTCAAGGGAAAAGCCTTTTGAAGCCTTAAACCAAGTTGTTTAATGAGTTCCGAATACATATTTCATTCCTCTGAATCATTTGAGATTCAAAACCGCTATACTCGTATCAAATCTTCACTTTAAAACAACCTTTCAGTTGCTCTTAAAAGTTCAGACTTTTTCCCTACATGTATTTGCAACCCTAGAACTAAAAAAATAATATAAAAAAAGTTTAAAAATAAAGTAGAAAAAGTAGAAACACAAATTTAAAATAAGAAAAAAAAATATGGCAAAAGAAAACCTGAAAAAAAAATATTAAAAAAATAAATAAATAAATAAAAAGGTCAAACGAACTAATTACAATCATAATGCATCAAGAGGAACCCTAAGCAATACAAGAGACATTTTTCAAAATGAAAAATTATTTTTATTTGGTCAGTATTTAATGCCTAAATTAAGGGCGGCTTCAAAGCGTATTAAATCAGCTTTTTTCGAATCAAAATAATTACCCAAAATACACAGAAAATACTCATAATAAAAAGCTGCAAAGAACTAACATATTTTTAAATAAGTAGCTTTAAAAATACTCGTAAAAAAGCTGCCGAGAACCAACGAAGATTTTATTAAAAATACATTATAAATACTCAAAACAAAAAACGGCCGAGAACAAAACGAAGTTTCATTTAGAAAGCTGCCGAGAACTAACAAAGTAGATATTGTGCTCCGACATACATTTTTAACAATAAATACCTATTTTAATCAAATTATACGTATTTTAAAGTAATTTTAAAATCAGCAGCGGCCGCTAATAAAAGATTAAGTTACCCATTTCTATACTGCAATGCGCATCGCCGGAATTCGAAGTCTCAAATACTTGTCAAGAATGCTTCCAATTACACCACGAAAGCATGAGAAAAGGAGAGAGGAAATGCGTTGTATACTCCCCCTTTTAAAAGACGACTGGGGATTAGAACACGCAATTGCTAAATCCTGGTGGTTACGAATTATCGTCTACCAACTTTTTTTAGTCCAAAGATGCAATTTGCCCTGAAGCACTATTAATTTCGTTTTGCCATTTTGCGTCGAAAACTTTAAAAGGCTTTTGAAATCGTTGCCACCATATATTATCGCCCTGTCTTATATTTAAAGAAATTAAATGAAAAATTTGCATAAATGTAAATGGGTTTCTCGCATTGTGGTAAAACAACTGTACCTAGAGCCATCAAAATTTGAATAACGTAATCTTCCATAGAACATAGGCATGTGGAAGACCAAATTTGAAATTTGGAATTTGTTTTATTATCGATTTCATATTTTGTAAAACTTTAACGAATTTTTGATTAACAAACTCAAGGATTTCAAAGCGAGCAATGGCGACACTTTACGGGGGGGGGAACATTCTTATCTCCAGCGCGCGAGACTGTATGGGAAATTCTAAAAATATGCTCATTTTTCAAATTAATTTGCGATATTGTTGTTGAACTGAAGTTTACAGTTTGAGTACCTAGACGGAGATATTTAATAAATAAAGGTAACACACAAAATGTTAAAAAAACGCCACTTTGGAAGTAATTTAAAATCTGAAACCCCTCGTTTTTTTTTTTTTTCTTTTTTTTTTTTCTCTCTGTGTGTGTGTGTGTGTGTGTAACGTTTCTATGTACGGACAGAATAGAGGATATTTTCTCCTAAAACTGACAGTAAAATGGATTTAAAAGGTATTCCGAAGGGATTTTTTCATGAATTCTATACGTACGTACCTATCTCGCAAAGCCGTAGAACGTTGAAATTTTGTATATGAGACGACTATAACATCTAGTTGCACACCTTCCTTTTGTTATTTCAATCGGCCTTATCAAACGCATATACCTACTCACTTACTCTCGGTAAACTCTTTATTCATATATGTAGGTAAACAGTGCATTTTTTGCTTTAAAAGTGACAGAATTATATTGTTCTTACGTTCCGAATAGTTGTAGAATCAACGATTTAAAAATGTAAGTAGAGTTAAGCCTAGCAAAACCACCACTTGTTTACACATGAAACTCTCAGTAGTGTAGTGAATTAAGTCAGTTGGTGAACCAACTTCTTTTTTTTCTGCCCAGTGGGTCCAAACGTTAACTAAATTTTGGCTCATCGAAAATTTTATCTTTCTACCCGTTGGCCGAATTGCTTGGTTTTACGTAAAATATAAATTTTAATTACAATTTTTTAACTGTATTTCGTAACTATTCTGTGTCTTGAAGATATTTTAATTTTTATGCATTTTTGCCTTACCGTGGAATGAGAAATGAACTGATTGAATAAAAAAGTCTTTCTCTAATGAAATTCGAGGAAATAAGTTTAAATGAGGTGCAGCAAATATTGTGTATAATTTAATAGGTCGTACACGGATCATTTGCTAGTAGGTAGGATCATTTGCTGTCTACATCAGATTTTTTTTAATTGTTAATATAACTTCTGAGCAGAAAAATTTTCGTGGTATTGTTAGCGTAAAACGTATACTATGAAATTTCACGTTCATCCTGTGAATTTAGCCGTTATTTTCTCTTATAGTAACATTACTGCCCTAATCATTAATGCTGGATCTGCCAAAACTTACATTAAGTGCGTTAGATTAAAATATTAAATTCCTCAAAAAGATACTTATGAATTCACTTAATAATAATGAATGCTAGATATAATTTAAATAATTTGTTAGTACTTATATATTATGCAGTGTTCATCCCAGTCACTGGATCATTACAAGTTTTATACATGATTGCTAACTATTATAAGACACACATTTATAGGCTAAAAGTTTTGTACTTATTATAGTAAACCCTTGCCGAAGGCGGATTAGCGGAAAGCGATTTCGCACATTCGTCTTATCTTAATTATTTGCATTTCATTTGTCCAAAGTTAAGAGTTTTATTCATATGCGGTTCAACGTTCATTTATGAATAGTGAATATTTGTTGACATCAATTCTACCCAAAATTTATCAACAATGATTGAAAATGAAAGCAAAGAAATCCTACAAACTGCAAAAGCAATTGGCGGCTAACGATTTTCAGATACGTAAAAAGAAGTCAAACAATTGATCGAGAAACAACGAATGAAGAATTGGATAGTCTTATAACACCAACGACATTCAAGGCAGCGATAGTGAAGAAGAAACTAAAGCATCTTTAACATAAAAAAATTTTAAAACGGCATAGGAACTATATGTATTTTGGTTTTGTATCACGTAGTTTTTAAGCAACAATAAAAATCTTTTCAATTAACATTTGCTCCAATTTTACTTCTTTGTATGAAGTAAAGGAAGTATTGCCATCGCAAAAATTTTTGGGTATCATTATTTCAGCGAAAATATCCATTTTGATCGCTTTCGAATTCAATTTAACAACGTTTTTGCGTCACATCTGTACGTAAGAACAAAATAAAGGACACTTTTTCCCAAAATGGGTTGCAAAAATGATTTAAAATGGATGCAGAAGCGATTTTTTCGTGACGTCAGTACGTGTACGTACGTACCTACATATGCTTATGTACAGTATGTATCTCGCATAACTCAAAAACGAGTTACTGTGCACCTGCCTTTTTGGTTGCAATCGGCCGCACCAAAAGTATAAGCTCTTTTTTATTTTATTTTATTTTATTTATTTTTTTTAATTCTTATATGTTGGCAAATTGTGCATTTTTTCTTTAAAAGTGATTGAATTATGTTGTCGTATGTTCTGATTAAGGTTTTTATACCATTAGTTAATCTGCATGCAAAAGTTGTAGAATTGTCAACAATTTAAAAGTTGTTTAAGTGCGTCTAAGCCTAATTTTTTTACCATAGCAGCCATATTTGTTTACATTACTTAGCACAATAATGAATTGTTTCTGCACCTTCTGTGTCTTTTTGCCGGATGGGGCAAAAAATAAACTTTCAGTTTTGTGCACCGAAAAATCTCTCTTCTTGCCGAATTGCTTGTTTTTTGCATAGAAACTCTAATTTTAATTGTAAAAATTGTTTTTTTTTTTTTTTAAATTGCTTGAACTGTGTTTGGATTTTTTATATTTTTCAATTTTTAATAAAGATATTTTGAGGTTTTATGCACTTTTGCGTTGCAGCGAAGTGAGAACTAAATTAATTGAATGACTAATATATCTCTAATGAAATGCAAGGAAATAAGTTTAAATGAAATACAGGAAAAAATGCGTAAATTTAATATTTCGTAAGGGAAGTCATGTGGTGTATACGTCAGATTTTTTCCTTTTAATGACAAGAATATTTAGCCTGATACTTTCCTAATCTAAACTATACTTACCACCTTTTTTCCATAGAAAGTTAACTTTGTGAAATTCATATCTGCCAATGGAACTACATATACTTCTGATTCTTCCAGGTTAATACTTCTGATCATATAGAGTAAATAATATTGCGTAATATTTTTAGAAATTCTTTAATTGTTTTATATGCTCGCTAAAATTAGTCGAAATATCTTCACCAATATGTATGATAAAATATAAAAAAGAAATAATAGAAACTTTTCTGTACAGTATCTATTTAACAAAATGTTTCATTAAATTCCAGATCTCCAAGTGTACACGTGATGGCTTCAGTGCTGGCTTGGATGTCGTCATGTATCAATCCTGTCATATACGCAGCTATGAATCGACAATATAGGCAGGCCTATCTACGCCTTTTTTGCGGCAGTAAAAGGCGATTCGGAGCTCCTAATTCTAGCTCCAGCACAACGCGATCAGGCTCCAGCCACTCCAAGACCTTGATGTCAGAAGTTTTTGTTTTTAATTCCACTGCAAATGGAACAAATGGAACCCAGAAACCTAACAACGATAAGGCAAAGAAGGATGAAGAAAATAAAGTATAAATACTGTCAAGTTCCTCAGTAGAAGAGAACAAATGAGACCCAGAATACAGAGTAATGATGAAAATGAAAGGAACAAATAGTTCTCTTCAGTGAGAGAATGCGACGCTTTTTGTTTATCTAACTTTCTGTTGTTCATAAAGCGTAAAAGCTGTTCATGATTATATGTCAGCCTTAGGCTGCTATACCAAAGAGCATGGCTTTTTTTTTTAATAAGGATTTATTTTAGGAAAATACGCAATCTCTGGATGTTTTCGACTGTGGAATATTACCTCGGGCGAATAGATGAGCCGAGTTCAGAATACGTAAAACTTCTTCCAGACACAAAATTGTGGAAGACATACCTCTCACAGTATATTCTTCATGGCAAAAATGTTCAATGTACAAAATCTTTCTCTGAAGTAGAAAGAAGAATTTTCGCAATCAAATGTGTTGAACGTTTAGTTGCATTCTACATTCAGCTACCATCACTCAAAACTTATCGTAACGAAGACGCGTGTTTCATTAAATCACAAATATTTTTTCTAAATTGTGTGTACTATATATGCTTCAGATCAGACACACAGAAGAATCAAAACCAATATCATATGACGAGAAAAATCATTACGTTCATTTATTTTTATATTTTTATGTATGTGTACTTGAATTTGTTTAGCTATTTTTGCAGCGGAAAATGACACTTTGCCTAAACTGCATGAAAAAATAAATCATATATTTGCTCAAAATGGCATTTTCCAAATTTGTTTTCAGAAGCATATAATATGCCTGTTTATTTGTTACCATGACGTAGCAACAAGTTATACGGTATATTCATTAATGAAGAAAACAAAAACTTCCCGTTATATTTGCTTATATTATACTATATACGTTGCACTTCCTGCATGTTCTATCAACAGGAACCAGCTGGTATTTTTTAGGACTATCCATCGTTGGAATATTTCCTGAAATCATCTTTTAGTAATAAGTTATTATAGTAAGAGCTATAGTTGTTAACCATGCTGCTTGATACGAAAAATAGTGCATGTTAAAAACGTATACTGAAGTTTACTCATCGCAACATTACATACGGAATTTCACGAACTGCATGTGTTAAGTTGGCCTTCAGCCACAGTTATTATATTATCTCGATATTTTCTTCCAAGTAATAGCTCCAAGGTGGATAAAAAAAAAAAAAAATTCAATTACGTAAAATTTAGAAATCTTATATCCTTAGAATCCCAGATCTCAGAATTCCTAGATTTTATGAATACCTTATAAAAATAATCTACAGTACATTAACCATGAATCCATTTTCCATGAATACTCTAAAATACAATTTTCCATTTAATAATTGTAATAGTTATATAAAAATTTAAAAGCATAAAAACAAAATTCAACTTAAAGATATATAACTATTCATAATTTTTAAATGTTAGACTGCTGTTATTTGCGTTTTTAAAAATTAAAAAAATACAGTGATTATTAAGCATAAAACAAAACTGTTAAAAATAACACTTTGATAAATGTCTTCCGTAAACTTTCAGACATTCTATTTTTAAACAATGCGAACATTTTTATGCATCTCTCTTTTTATATATATCTATACACACACAAACTTTAACTATAAAATTTACACAAAATGTCTAGCAATCGTTAAACTTCTAATAATTTTACTAATGTATTACATAATTGAATCTGATGAAATTACAATGCGTTTAAATAAAATGATGAATTTAAAATTTTGTAGATACTAAATTATCTAATGTAGAAAACAAAACTTTAATTACTTGTAAAAGTAAATTTTTTCTTCCAGAAATTTTAAAACAGCTGGTGAGATAAAACTGCATGGATCAAAATTTTCAAAATTCAGTGTTTAACTGGGATTTAGTGACCCTGAAATCACTCAATGAGCGATTCCCAAGTCACCAAATCCCACTCAGTCAATGAGCACTATTATGTCTGTCTGGGGAATAAAAGCAGTCTGATCAAAGTGCTGACCACACTGCCTTGAATTTTTACTGCAGTCTTGCAGTATAGGGACCCTAATCCCTATGAACCTCTCACCAGTTCCCCAATCAGGGCTATTGTAGGATCACTTTACCTTTTATAAAACTGCCATATAGGTTTATAGCCCAGTATGGTTTGCTGAGGTGTAATACGGAATGATACCAATATTGGCCTACAGGCACCTTGTATTACACCTCAGCAATCTGTGGCATAAGTCAGTTTAATCCCACCTAAAAAAATCTATCATGACTAAACATTGCTATGGTTATCTATCCTCAGAGAATATTTCAATATTGATTACATAAAAAAAAATTTAGTATATTCATCTAACATATAACTTTTTTGTGCTCTTTATTCTCCACTTAATAAAAAGGTTTACAGAAACATTATCTTATCAGATTTTCAACTCCAAATTTACAAATGGAACTTACAGGATACAAAAATCATCAAGTGTGTTCGTGCATTTTACAATGGTTCACTATCTTAATTTTTTTTTTAAATATAAAGTGTTTTAAAATTATAATTAAAAAGTATGTAACACGTGCTTTTCACTCAGCTTTAAATCTGAAATCAGCTTCATATTATTATATAGACATATATATGTAACCGGCAACGTTTGAAAGCCGGTATTCTACAATATTACTAGGCATTTTACAAAACGCCAAAAACTGTCAGGAAGTGTACGAAACGTTGAACATTTCACACAATTCCCCAAATGACAAACTGCAGAATCCTTACATCTCCAATTCATTTCAAATGTCATGTGACACTATAACTTTTAACGCAGACCTTAAGTTCAGAATTTGCTATTTGCATTTTACACTTCATTCTGAAGCATCAAAACACGCGATATTCATCCGTGAATTTGTTTAACAAAAATTTGAGTCTTGTAGTGTCAAAGATGGAATCATCATGGATGGACATGCAACAACGATGCTATGATGAACTGTCCAAAGTTTAACTGCAAGTGTTTTAAATAATAGCTTTATCATGATCTTTTATCATACGTTGCCTGTTGTTGATTTGCCGTTCTATAGAAGATATATTGAGTTCTAAAATTACTTATGTGCTCACGCTTTCAATTTTTTTTTTAGTTATATGACACAAGTTCCATAAATTGGCTCATAGGTTTGATACTGCTGATCTAAAATTTTGTGGATTTCATGTAACACTCATTTTCTAAATTATCACCTATTACAATATGTTACTTAATATCTTAAATAAGAATTAAAATGAAATAAAAAATTTAAAATATGCACAAGTAATAATATGACATGATCTGAAAACAAGCTACCTTTCCCCCACAAAAGAAAAAAAAAACGTACTATTTTCATAAATAACCAGAACAACTATTCTGTATCTTTCGTAATCTTAATAAGCAATTTTATTAAGTAATAATAAGATATTATTAAATAATAATAAGCTATATCATAATAATATTAATTAGTAAATGGTAATCTTAGTCAATAAGTAATCATGAATACGCTGTTTTATATAAATTTATTCTAGAAAAATATGCAAGAGAGTATAGTTTTATTACTGGCAGTACTAAGTTCAAATATTTTAATTAAATTATATCTCTTCCTAATATTTTAAACATTTTAGATAACAATTAAGTTTTGCAAAATTCTCTTTAGAAATAAATCAAAATTTTGGAATACTTCTCTTTACACATACTATTACTCCCATCATTAACTTTTTTTTTTTTTTTTTTGCTGTGTAACTCATGTATTAGTATTCTTTTAACAATATCAATGCTTCTAATTTTATATCCAATAATTCTTTAACTATATAAACATTTACTGACCCCCCACTGATCTATTTTTTGTTCAAACACATGCATTATTATTGATACCAAAATTTAATATTTTGTTCTTTATAACTGACCAGACAAACAAGATATTGCATTTATAATCTCAAATACATAAAATTAATTATAATAAAAGTTAACTCTCATCTAAAAAATAATTTTACACAAGTATTATATGCAAATATGTCTACGATAAGTACACAATATGCTTCTCATACTTTGTCTAATAAATGCTTTTCATACTTTGTCAGAAAAAGTCAGCCATTCCATAAAATACCTAGGTATTCTACAGAATCCCGGCGTTTCATACGTTGCCGGTAATACATATAATCTCAATTTAAGCTACTGTAAATTGTAAATAAGTAAAACCGTAACTTACACCATCAAAGCACATTTTAAAATTAACATTATTAGATTTACTGTATGGACTCTCCTTCTGAACTGTATGAGTTACTTTAATGGAGAGTTTATATTATGGAATGAATTCTCATTTCTAAAGCAATGTAATGCAAATTCATTTTTTAACTACCTCTCTTATTAAAATATTGTTATAATTTTTCTTCTGTATTTCACAATTTATTATCAGTTCAAAATTTTAAAGCATTATAATAGCTTCATTTCTTTCCTCCTAAAAGTATATTTTTAAATATGTTTAGTATTCTTAATAAGTTTTAACCACTATCAACAAAATCTCCCCCCCCCCCCAAAAAAAAAAGAGTTTGGAAAATGCCAAGTAAAAATATACATGCACATATATATATGTTTACATTTCATAATGTATTTTATTTATGTCTTTATTTTTTCATTATTTGTATTAGATACTTTACATTTGAATACATTTGTAATGTTTTTGTCCAATTTTTAGTGTTACTTCTTGAAAATAATACTTTATTATTATAATTTTCCTCAAAAATGAATTCATGTGTAAATGACAAAATTTATAAATAAGTAATACATTCAAAAATTTAATTCTTTTGTTTGGAATAATTAAATTAATTATTGCTGTGAAATTCATTATAGTTTATTTAATTATTCAATATTTCATTCACATGCAAAAAATATTTGTGTTCTAACTTTTTTAATGAAGAAAAATATGGAATAAGCAAAATAAATATTCAATCTCTGAAAAAATGTGAACAAACTCCTCTAAATTTGTTCTATGGTTTTACACAAGTTTTATTTGCAATTTAATAAAAATTTCAGAATTTGCAAAAAAATTTAAAATATATAGCTAAGCAATAGATATTTAAATCTGAGAACAAGGAATGTCTTTCTCTGTGATTTAATATTTTAAAATATAAGTATAAATATATACTTAGAAATATACAATAGCCATTTTACTTAAGATTTTGTCAAATTCCTCTGCCTCTCCATCATATATATATATATATATATATAAAAAAAAAAAAAAAAAAAAAAAAGTAAAACAGTGAATACAGTTCTGCTTTGATGACAAAAGGAATTTTGCATGAAAAGCCATATAAGATAATTTTGCCTTTTATAATAGCTGAAAGACTTAAAAATGAATATTTTGAAAAGCATTACAATTGCATAATCTGTTAATGAAATATGCACAGATTACATTAGGCATACCATGCATTTAGCAGTTAGAGTATTCATACAATTTTTTTAAATGATATTTGTCTTTAATCTCAGGTATGGATATTCAACTTTTTTGACTGTCTAGGAAATTTCACTGCCTCATACAGGTATGCCAAAAAGCAGCACATCAAAAATATTCCAGCGGCTGCATATGGGATTGAATATCTATCAACAATCATAATATAATCTATATCAGCATTGCATTCTGATAAAATTATATTTACTTTTCAATTGAAAAACAATTTATACAAATATACAAATTATAATATTGCTTTATTTTAAATAGTGCATATATATTTAGTTTGATAAATATGGGAAGCAAATGTTAAAGACAGCATTTACATTTTTTACAGAAAATAAATGCTCACAAATACACATATATACATAATCTCAAAAATAAACATCATGAACATTGTGAAGGACTGCAAAATTTTTTTCACGAATAGATAATTTATAAAAGTTGAAAAAATAAATTTTCTTTGAATATATATCTGATTCTAACTCTACATGTTTTGATGTTAAAAAGGCAGAGCACGGCAGGACCAGGCATAGCAGGTATTTATCGTCAAAAAAGCAGGTACAGCTTCTTTGTGCCCTAATCTTGAAACAACACCCAAGGGAGCCGTAAATGCACAACTGGCTGCCACAGCCCAGTCATGGTCAAAATACCATCCCAGAAAGCTCAGTAATGGCCAAAATGCCATTTCAGACAACCAGAGATACTCACCAAAAATTTATTAACACTCATTTACCACACAATTCTGATTTTAAAAGAGAGTGGTGCAGAAAATATACTGTAATGCAGTTAGCATTTCCTGAAATCTTGAAAATCTATTGTCAAAAACTTCTGGTAAATATGGTAAAATAAAATGGTAGACAATGTTATGTACTTTTTTTTCATGTTTACATTATTTTATGTAGACAAAGTTCAATAATGATTTAAATTGTTGCCTTAAATGAGTAACTGTTACAATTTCAGTTTAATTTAAAATGATGATGTTCTTTGAAACATTATTTATTATTATAGCTGCTTTTGGCTTTAAAGATATATTGAGTTCTCAAATTACTTATGTGCTCACGCTTTCATTCTTTTTTTAGTTATATGACACAAGTTCCATAAATTGGCTCATAGGTTTGATACTGCTGATCTAAAATTTTGTGGATTTCATGTAACACTCATTTTCTTAATTATCATCTATTACAATATGTTACTTAATACCTTAAATAAGAATTAAAATGAAATAAAAAATTTAAAATATGCACAAGTAATAATATGACATGATCTGAAAACAAGCTACCTTTTCCCCACAAAAGAAAAAAAAAACCGTACTATTTTCATAAATAACCAGAACAACTATTCTGTATCTTTCGTAATCTTAATAAGCAATTTTATTAAGTAATAATAAGATATTATTAAATAATAATAAGCTATATCATAATAATATTAATTAATAAATGGTAATCTTAGTCAATAAGTAATCATGAATACGCTGTTTTATATAAATTTATTCTAGAAAAATATGCAAGAGAGTATAGTTTTATTACTGGCAGTACTAAGTTCAAATATTTTAATTAAATTATATCTCTTCCTAATATTTTAAACATTTTAGATAACAATTAAATTTGCAAAATTTTAGCAAATAAATCAAAATTTTGGAATACTTCTCTTTACACATACTATTACTCCCATCATTAACTTTTTTTTTTTTTTTTTTTTTTTTTGCTGTGTAACTCATGTATTAGTATTCTTTTAACAATATCAATGCTTCTAATTTTATATCCAATAATTCTTTAACTATATAAACCATTTTACTGACCCCCCACTGATCTATTTTTTTGTTCAAACACACTGCATTATTATTGATACCAAAATTTAATATTTTGTTCTTTATAACTGACCAGACAAACAAGATATTGCATTTATAATCTCAAATACATAAAATTAATTATAATAAAAGTTAACTCTCATCTAAAAAATAATTTTTTAACAAACAAGTATTATATGCAAAACGTCACGATAAGGTACAACAATATGCTTCTCAACTTTGTCTAATAAAGCATTTATTTCATAAATATTAATACATTTGTCAGAAAAAGTACAGCACATTCCATAAAAATAACTAGGATATTCTACAGAATCCCGGCGTTTCATACGTTGTACCGAAGTAATACATATAATCTCAATTTAAGCTACTGTAAATTGTAAAATAAGTAAAACCGTTAACTATACACCATCTAAAGCACATTTTAAAAGATGGTATAATGGAAATGCATCATGTAAAAGAAAGAGCTAAAAAATATAGAAAATTTTCTTATAAAATAGTATACTAATACAGATTTCAAGCAGATTTTAATACTGACCAAAAACTTGCATCATTACATTAAGCTTACATACAGACGCTGTGAAATAATTGTTTAATCATTATAAATGTCCTAACTGTTGTGACTTTTTCATTGTAATCTCCCTCCCCAAAATTATAATTACACAATAAGAATTAAATATATACTCTAATACATAAAAATATAAATTCAAATATTTAAAAAAAGTAACATTTTTTAATATAAATTCTTATTTTAAAGCAGATAAATAACAAACTATTTATTTCAATGACACATATTTAAAAAAAAAAAAAAAAGACACAAAGCTAAAAGCATTAAACTTAGGATTTTTTAACATTGGTTAATCACATGAATTTACAATAAATTTCTTAAATACAATGTTTCAAATAAATCAAATTCATTACATTAAATTATGTGCAATGTCACGCAAAACCAATTTCAAAGCTATAGCATTATGATTTTCAAATACATTTACTGATATAATTCAAAGCAATCACCATATTTAAAATATAAAATTTACCTAATAATATTGAAAATGTACGCATTTATTTAAGTCACTTTGCAGTTGTGAAAAAGAATGATGATTTATTTCTCATTTTATGTGGGTTTTTAATTATGTAGCCCATATTGAAAGTAATTAAAAAATTTTAATGTTAGAAAATTTTATTTTGGAGTTAAAACTACCATTCATTTAAACTATTTTCTCTGTACTATATAAAAAAGCATTAAAATATTTAGGTAGAACATAAAAATAAATACTTTAAAAATAAGGGTCAAATATTAAGTGCAAAATTTAGTTTAAATAGTTCATATGTATTATTTATTCAATGCATCATTTGTTTATCTTATTATTAAACAAGAATCTGTTGGTGAAGGTATTATCTGATCCATACCAGATGCTGTTTTAGTAAACTAATTTCAATTTTTTAATAACAATTAGCTACATTGATTAAATATTCTATTTAATTTTTTTAAGTCATTCACAATAAATGTTTACATTTTTATATTCAAATATACATTAGAAATGAAACTCTCAATGTTTTATAAGACACAAGGTAAAATGCATGTGCACAATGGCCATGATCATAACTTCTAATTATATCAATCTGAAGGTTACTAAATGAATTTTTCTATGTTTTTATGAAACCAAATATATTTATTCGGAAATTTTATTTTGCTTCAAATTAATTTAAGATTGTGTACATATCATATGCTTATTACATATAAACAATGAAGTTAAATAGATATTTACAAAAATGTTCAACAACATATAAATTAAAAAGAAAACATTTGACAATTATTTATATTTCTTATTATATTTCATGATTATTCATTATAAATAGTTGATTGGTTGGTTGATTTTTTAAATGGCACAAAACCTCGAGGGTTATTATGCGAGAGACAAATGGTGAGTAAAATTCAAGATTATTATAAATAGATTTATATTTCATTATAAATCGCTAATTGTGCTAAGAAATTACATGCAGCAGAAAAAATTCTGCCAGCATCAATTATGACAATGTTCACTGATTCTAATGCAATTAAACACCTGATTAGTGAATACTCATGAGACAAAGCTTTTTGGTCCCATGAGTATCCATGGAACCAAATGGATTGAAAGTTAATCATCTACATAGACAATCAGTAAATTTAGGAGTTAAGAATAAACAAGCAAAATTTTTTTAATTAATAAATTTGTTCTTAAAAGATAAATAAATGTTGCACTTATAAGAAGAAAATTTTTTAATATAGTGAATATATTGACTTTAATTTTTACTGTGAGGAAACCGTATAAAAAGTTACATTTTCCCTTCATAGTTTTAAGAATGTTTAAATTAGAAATTCTGCATAATGGTTTTAAGAATGCAATTAGAAGCAATTATCTAGAGCCAATATTTCGAGTATAAAAAGCTCAAAGCTACTTTTGTGAAACATCTTTTAAGAATCTTATTTACATTTTATAGATATCACTTTTGAGTTTTCTTTTTGGCTTAGGTTTCATATAAATTTGCATTTATGAATTATATATATATTTTCAGTTGAAATTTTACAAATTTAGAATACATATTAAGTGACTTATACATATAAGTGACTATATGTATACCTTATTTCTCATCTCATCTACTATTAATATGGAACTGCATCTGGGAAGCTATTGTAATTATGATTGTAAATCATAAATCCAAATTAAAACTAGTTATTCAGAGACAGTGAGCTAATTAATAAACTTTCATATAATTTAAAGAAAAATTTAAATGATCTTATGATCAATGTATATGATCCATTATTTATATGACTAGACATGTAAAAATATGATTTAAGTACAAAAAAATTAAATAAATATGAGTTAAGATGTAAAAAGGGGGCTATTATTATTCTAAGATAATTTAAATACTGCAAATTTAGTCACTGCCCCAAGATAGAATTAATTATTCACAGGCAAGAGATAAAATTAAATAATTTTTACATTAAACTAAAATTTAAGTCTGAAATTGCGTGACTAGATTTATAAAAATATAGCTTAAACAAAGGATATAAAAATACTCCAGTAAATCATAGTGAAATGTAAAATATACATTACATTATTATTTCCATAGAATTTAAATATTTGTACCCTTAGTCCATAGTACCATGATTCAACTTTTTGAATTCAGCAACTTGAGAAGCAATATATTCCAAAATATGCTTTCCATCACGGTTATTACTGGGCAATTTGTCAGTAACATTAAGGACATCTCCACATTCTCTGATGAAATATTCAATATCATCATCTGTACACTTGTTGGTGAGCTGAGCAAGTCTAGCTTTTTCAGTGCTGAAAGCTTCATCTAAATCAAAAAGCTCAAGTGCAGGTTTTTGGAGTTCTCGGAAAGATGGTGGGAAAACCTATGTTAAAAAATGTTATGATAAAATGCACAGTTTAGGTTAGTACACTAGAACCCAGTTTATCCAAAATAAAGTGAGAAAGACATCTTAATACTTCTTTATTCATATAACCCAAAGGAAATAGTATTAACAACTGAAAGAAAAAATAAATGCGTCATGTTATATGCAAGATACATATTAAATTACATGAAATAATGATTGGTCTTTCAAATGTTTTTCTTGTAATTCTTAAGAGCAGCTATGTTATGCCAGTATTTGATGAAAAGTATACATGAAAGTTGTTTTCTGGCACAGATTTCTTGGCTCATTATTTTTGCATATAAAGTTGAGATCACTTGTTTCCATGATAAAATATGCATTTAAGGCTAAAGAATAATACAGTGAAAACAAGTTTATTTAAAAGAATGAGATGATTGTTGTTTTTAATTTAATGTTATTTTTCTCCACTGTTTCAGTAAACAGAAGTTTGGTTAAGAAGCATTTTAACTCAGAAATGGAACTCAAATAATTTAACAAACATTTTACTGGGTAATTAAGTGATAGAGTAGCTAACTGAATAGGGATAAAATACTTATATAAATATAACATTTCAATTTTAATAACTAATTCCTCAAACTCAAAATATTTTGAGAAGCAGTTTTGTCAAATCAGACAGAACTAGTTGAATTCTATTTTTGTATTGAGTAAAAATTTGTGTTTATACAATATGTATTTGCACATTCATTTTAATTCACGCATATGATTTGCAAATAATTTTAAAAGAAGAAGTAGTTTGTTATCATTCCTTCCCTATACACATACCAGATTAGACTGAGTATTATAAACACACATATAATTGCTTTAATTTTAATTTTCAAACAAATATGAGAAGAATTCAGCATCTCTCACATGACATATGCATTACTAATTATCCACATACATAAATTTGCAATTAAAAAACATTTGGTCAAATTTATTTTGAATAGAGAGCCAGTAGGAATATACAAAATTTTAAATGTGCTTCAAGATTCTAGAATCACCATTATTCGAGAAAGAAAAATATCTTAGTACATAGTAAATAATTAATATAGTATACATAGTAAATAATTAATATAGTATACAAGTAAACTACTAGTTATGCTGTCTTAGTTGTTTGAATTGAGTATAAAACAATACTGGAGAATAAAATCTATTGCAAATGGTTACAGATTAATTTGTTTGGACTTCTTTAATCTAATGATATGACACATTTTGTAAATGTATTGGTACCATAAAATATTTTTAATTACCTAATTTCCTTTTTAATAACTATTAAACATATTCCTTCAATATATTTAAACATACCCCTTCAAGATTATATCATCATCAATAAGCATATATTTTTATTTTTAATAAAAATCAAGATAAACAAAATTTATACTGTGAAACAAACATTTAGTTCAAAATAATTATTTTTATTATAATTAAGCATATATTTTATAATTTAATAAAATACACTTTAAAAAAATCAAGATATACTATTATGTACTTTAAGTCAGATATATAAATAAAAAGCTAAATACATAAAGATGCTAATACATAATTCATAAAACATTTCATGTCATTCCTTAAAATAAATTATCTTAAGTTTATATAAATAAGAATAATTTCCTTAAATTCTTTTTATTAAAATTAAATCAAGTTGGAATTTGCAAACATAAATAATAATAATTTAAATACTAGACTTAAATAAATGTATTGAAGAATATCTGTAAGTTATCGACTATTAAAATTGAGCATTAACTAGGACAAAATTCAACTAAGTTTATTTAACAGAATTCTTATGATACAAAGATAAAATCATTAAAACTTCAGGTACATTGTACAGACAGAATATGCTATTATCACTAACAAATGTGGTCACCATGAGCAAAAATAATCGCTGCTATACAGTGAGGCATAGAGTTGAAGAGACATTTGATGGCATTTGGGGATACTGCAGTCCAAGCAGCTGCACTTTGTTGTTAATTGTGTCACAATGCTCTAGAGGCTCGGGTACTCGCGCCTTGAAACCACTGCTCTTCACAATGGCGTTTGCTTGCTTCTCAAATAAGAATGTTAATTTTTACCCGGATATAGATAAGGGGTTTTGAAGTCACAGAGTTATTTTATTACTAAACAATACATGCACCTGCCCAGTAAAAAGGTCTTTCTTTTCCAGAGACTTTTCTCTGACCTCAACACACTTGCTCCCCAAGCTAGTATTCTAATTTTATAAATTATTTCCTGTGGTTTAAATTTAATGTAAATATACTTTGCTGTAATTAAAAATAGAAATTGCATAAAGTTTTATTTAAATAAAAAATATTTTCTGAATATTTTTAGATGAAATACGAATAAAATAAGTATGAATGGAAAACGAATGATCCATACCAAAGCCAAAAAGACCAAGCCCCCCCCCCCATTAACATAAAAAAAAACACAAATTTCATGTGCCAGATGAAAAGAAACTAAATAACGCTGGATATAGATTAAGAAAGAAACTAAATAACGCTGGACATAGATTAAGAAAGAAACTAAATAACGCTGGACATAGATTAAGGAAGAAACTAAATAATGCTGGACATAGATCAAATTTAGATCCAATCAGTGTACATTTTGTAGCACAAGGAAGAAAAATCATAGAAGAAGATACATGTGCGAAACGTGCAATGTGGGTCTATGCATGTACCAAAAAAACAAAACATACTTTGAACAGTGTCACAAAAAATATTTGTTCTTTGAAATTAAAAAAAAAAAAAAAAACCCACTGAGTCTTTTTTTATCCTTATTTTACTGAGTTTTTTAATCCATGTAGCCAAACATCCTTATTATGTAGGTACTTATACTTTCACTGCTATAGAAAAATTACATAAATGTTTATTTTTTTAATTTTTTCTGACGATTTAGTTTATAAAATAATGTTAAAAATATATATATTATGCAATTCTTACATGCATTTTTTTTTAAATTCGTAAATTTCGTCATTTATTGGAAATGCGCACGGAAAAAGGTAAGTTTTTTTTTTTTCCTACTACCTAGGTAAGTTTCAAAGTCCTAGATGCGCAGTGGTTTCAGAGTGCAACCACTACCCACAAAACAATGGGCAAGAGTAGATTTTTTTTATTTCATATATTATTTGTCTCTATGTCTATTCTAGACATAGAGACAAATAAATGACTCTATTTGAATTTCTAAAGTTTTTAGTTAAAACAATTATAAAAATAATATCGCGCGCATCAAAGGGTTAAAGCATACTCTATTACATCTAAATATAAACAAGGAAGAAATACTATTTCCATATGGAAAACCTATCCACTGTCCTTTCCTTTAACCACTTGCACTAAAAAAGACATGCCACATACGTCGAGATGCTTTTGTCTCAAACTGTGAGCGACGTGAACATCATGTGGATAGGCATTTATCGCAAAAATGAAAATGACGTGGTGCACACGTCGCCTAACAACAAGATTGTTTATTTCTCGAGTTACAGCTCTGGATTGCACTCGCAGATGCGGAGCGACGTAAATGAGACACTTTACCGCTTGTTATATTGTAGCACACGGCTGAAGTTTAGTCGTAGTGCAAGTGGTTAACAGTGATTCTAAGTGGTATTACGGATGGCCATTATTTGTTTATGTGCTAGACTGCTAATCATTTTCATTTGTTAATGTGCTCTATCTATTAAGCAATTCCATGTTGATCAGCTGCATTCTTAACTGCAATTTGGATGGCTAGCAAAGAATATTGCAATTTAAAAATGCAAAAAGATACATTATGTAGTTATACACTGCAAATATTAATTTCATATTACTTATTGTAGAAAAAGATAAATTTTTCATTAGGATATATTATTACATATAAATTGTTTTAAAAGAACATAATAAAGTTAATGACTTATACATATTATGAAATAAAGTACATGAATGACTGATATTATACATTAATAATATCAAACATTCATATACTTCATTTTTCGCTTACAAAACTACCTGTTTATTTTACATTCAACCCTTTTATATGGGGTACATAAATTACTGAAATTTTCCATTTACAAATTCAGATTCTAACCAAAATACATAATTTTTTTTTCTGTAAATATTCTTTTCTCTTCTGTATTTATATAACAGAATACTAATTCAAGCAAAAATGTGCATTTATTAAAAAAATTAAGCAGTTAATCAATAAAAACTTAAACTGTGTTCCCAAAAGTAAGGCAGACAGACCTTCAATATAATACTTAATACAAGTCTCATATGAGCTCACTGAGATTATAAAAAAGAATGATTATTCATTAAATCATATATACAAATTTACTTACTGCAGGCTGAAGAGGTGCAAGTGGAGTCTCAAATCTTGGCATTATCAATTTCAAAGGTTCGTGTTTCATATTCAGCTCCTTATAAGCACTATAATATTCAAACATTTGCCAGTTATATTCTTAATTTAAATTTAATTTATCCCCCCTAAAAAAATATATTTAAGAGAAGATATAAAAATAATTACTGAAAGACAATATTAGAAAAATACTTAAAATTCACATACCTCAAAACTTTTGGCAGAACTTTGTTATCAAATTGAAAAAGAGTACTGCGATATAGCACTGAAGGATCACTAGGAATTTCATCACACTCCTGCAGACACGAGAAGCAATGCTCTGCTAGCTTTCCAATTGAAGGTATCATATGATAATCGGATATCTGTTGAAAGTTAGTGCATAAGCAAATTAATTTTATAGCAGAAAATGCTTTATTGACATATTCATAAAATTTAAGCACTAGAGACATACTTTTCATATTGTATATAGTTGTCAAATTTTAATATTTACAATTAAGAAATTCATGAAATGAGGATGGAAAAAATTTTCATTAAAATAAACTAAATATAGTTAAAATTTTAAGACATAGAGCTATATAAAAAACATAACATTCATTTTATGAATGCATTTAACAACACTAATCAATAAGTGAGTATTTTCTTTAAAAAGAAAAAGCTTGCAGTATATAAAGTGTCATCTAATACATTATATTTTTTATTTGAATAATCCAAATGCTGGCTTGAAGTAAATATCTAGGCTTAAAGCATATCATAAAAAGAATTATTAATGTGATGCCTATCAATATAGTGCAGTGATATGATTTTCAACACTTCCCAAGAAATATTGTATGGCCTACAAATGTTCAAATATCACTACTGTTTCAATTTACCTACGTATTAAAAAGTAATAATTTATATTGTTAAGAATTTTTGTATTTATGTAAATTATTTTAGTGAAATTGCATGCAAAATTACAGTGTATTTTGTGCAATGTAATATGATGTGCTTTAAAGGAATGAAGCTCTGCTGGGAAAATAAGATTACAGGAGCAAATCTATTTAACATTGAGTAAATGACTATCTCGCTAAATTGGCGAAATATTGCCAACCTAATGATGGTTTCAGTAACTAAAATTTGGCGAGAAATCGACAAAAGTCGCCAAACTTGGCAACCATTTGGCGATATTTTTGTACTGTGCATGTATAACTGTAATTGGTACAGAAATTGAATAACTGTATTTGAGCCCTACACGTAATTGAAACTGTATCTAATCCTTAATGTAATTTTAACTGTAAATGGTTCCAGTAATTTTGAGAAGTGTAATTTTGAGGTACTAGAGATTTCTCAGTGGCCAGAAAACTATATAAGATCAGAGATAGCATCTGCTCTCAGTTGTTAATTCAAAGCTGACTTTGGAGTATTGAAATGTCTATGACAGCTTCACCTTTTAGATGTGCTTTGCATTGCATTGCATTGTGTTTATCATTCTCAGTAGTTTGACATGTAAGTATTGGTTTTGCTCTGGGATACTGAGAAAAGCTGTAAGAGTACTTTTGTGGAAAGTTTCAGAATCATAATAAATTTTATCAAGCTATCATCAGTTCTGTTCTTCCCATAATGAACCCGCACGCATGCAAAAATTTTTGGTGTCAGAAATGGGATTGAACACTGACAAGAGCGATGCAGGAGCAGTTAAGATAGTTGGTGGCAGCCTTTGCTGAATTCAAAGAAGACATGAAAGCAGGCAAAGAATCTGTTAAAGCAGAGATAAAGCAGGGCCAAGAACAGATGGAAGGGGCCATCAACTCCGTTAAAGAAGTGATGAACATTAGTCAAGATAAGACTAAAATTGGTCAAGAGGAAATGAAAAATTTCTTCTATGGAAGGCAGAACAGACATGAGTGGAGAAATTCAAGAAAGAGTTCCTGCTGTTGAACAACAGATCAAAGAAAGAATTTTTGCCATAAAAAAAAAGTTTCTACCGTTTAACAACAAATTGATGAGAGAGTTTCTGCTGCTGTCACAAAGAAAGATGACAGTTTAAATAAATTCATAACAACATCTGATGACAATTCTAATGCCTTTAAATTAAAGCATATGTCATCCCAACCCTCTCTAAAGCTCTCTAAGCCTCTAAAGCCACATACTATGGAAAGATCTCCTAGCAAATGTATAAGATGCGGTTCTCTATAGTGGCAAACACAAATGGATGGGATTCCAAACCTAAAGCCTGCCATCTTGCTGCTTCTGTTAGAGCAGATGCAGTGGATATCCTTCAAATTCTGCCTGAAAACCAGAAGCTAGGCTTCAAAGCTCTATCTGGTGTATTGGAGCTGCACTTTGGGTCAAAAGTGTTTAAAAGACTACAGCAGGCTTCAGTTAAAATCTCACCAACGGAAACACTTCAACAGCTTGCCACAGATTGTTGAAAAGCTGTCTCATCGCACCCTTTCGAACTGCCCTAGAGAAACAAGAGAAAAACCTATCCCTGCAGTACATTATCGATGGCAGCAGAGATCTTAAGATATAGAAAGTCCTGCAAATGGTGGATGTCAAGGATTTAAAAGTGCTTTACAGTACACCATGTTATTCGAGGCAGCCCAGCTAGCTACTCATAGAGACCACCAACCAATAGTTCCTGAAGTCCAGAAGACAGTGGATCAAGTGACTGCTTGTTTAGACAACTTAACTCAAGGCAAATCAATGCCTTGAGGCAGAATAGGAGTTCTAACAAACCAATCCTAAAAAGCTGAACCTATGCTGGTGAACGTTACATGCAAAGAAACTGCAGAATCCCAAAGCATGGAAAATAAAGATTGCTCCCCATCAAGGACAGAAAAAAAACAAATTAGTTGCTATCTCACGAAGCATAGTTTGCCAAAAATGGAGAAACCCATTTTAAAGCACTTCAGATTTCTGCAATGAGTGGTGGCTGTAATGGACTTTTCATCATGGGACATATCAGTGGAGCCCTTGCAGTATGACCATCAATATTGGAGCCAATGTTTCCATCATCCAGAAAGATGTAGCTCCACAGATTGAAGCAAAACTCATCTGCTCTGTGTTTACCCTCCAGAATGAGTGCAGTGATAAAATTGAAATTGATAGAAAGTGAAATAACATCAAGTTTGGGAGTGCTGCCTACCATCACACGGCATCTGTACCAAATATTACCAAATCTTGCATACTCAGATCAGACTTTCTAAGAAGTACAATTTTTCTTGGGCTTTAAAAATAATAAACGCCTTCCACCTCTGAGGACATAACACTATTTAGAATTAAAGATGAAGGAGTTTAACCTGTCCTCCAAATCGAATTCATGAAATTTCCAGTGTGGAATGGAATCCATTCTTAGGATAATGGAATATCTTAAGAACTGTAACACTTTGCAAAGAGTACTTGTAGCCTCACCACTCAGCGACCTATCAAGAACCGTCATCCTGGTGAGAGTTTCCAATGTACACAATAAGACAAAAGTCATTAGGAAAGGCAAATTAGCTGCAGTATGTACTCCGGTGACCTGCATTAAATGAACCAGTAGTCCTTCAGAGTCTGTGTCTTCGGAGAGCCTAATATCAGAGTTATTGCAGAATGCACATCTAAGTGAAGAACAGAAGAGTGCTCCTGAACATGTCATTCAAGAATTTCAAGATGTTTTTCCCCACACTTCTTCTGAAATTGGTTAAACCAGTTTGGCTCAGCACAGAACTGATGTGGGGATTCACCAATCAAGTAACATACAAGACATTTACCGATTGCTAAAGGAGAAGAGGTAAGGAAACTTCTACAGGATATGCAAGAAAGTGATGTTATCGAGCCTTCAGCAGGTTCGTGGGAATCTCCTATGATTCTGGTCTGAAAGAAATTTGGTTCAACTAGATTTTGCATTGACTGTCTCCAACTAAATGACGTCATGAAGAAACACAGCTACACTCTTTCCAGAACTGACGATGTTCTGGACACTCTTTTTGGAAGCAAGTGGTTTTTGATAATTGATTTAAAGAGTGGATATTGGCCGATAGAGATAAGCCCTGATGCCCAAGGTAAAACAACATTTACTATCAGGCAAAGACTTTAGCAGTTCAAGGTGATGCTGTTTGGATTATGTAAAGTGCCAGCAACATTCAAATGCCCCATGGAGATCGTATTGAGAGGTCTTTCTTATGAAGCCTGTCTAATATACTTAGATGATATCATCAACGTCGAGAAAAGTTTTGAAGAACATTTAGAAAATATTAGAAAGGTGCTTCAGAAACTGAAGGAAGCCAATCTAAAATTAAGTCCTGCCAAATGTAACCTATTTAGACAGGAAGTGACTTACCTCAGACATGTCATCTCTGCTTAAAGTGTGTGTATGAATCCTGAAAACATGTCGGCAGTTAAGGACTGAAGATGCTCCAAAAATGCCCATCAGGTGAGAAATTTCCTGGGGTTTTGCACTACAGGAACTTCACAAAGGACTTTTTTTCCATTGCA